CCCCAAAACCCCAAAACCCCAAAACCCCGAGGACTAGAAATTAAGTTGAGAACACATTATTTTAACTTATTCATCATCTCTTTCACTAACTGAATGAATTCTAGGTCTTTTAAATCTATGAGGATTTTTAGCTATGATTCGTTCTGAAGGATTTATCCTCATTACTGTAGTGCTATTGACCCTTGAAGCGCTAGTATCAATAGGCTGTATAACAGAATCTGTAATAATTATACATCTGTACATACTCTCTTTGTATCTATTGCTCTTCTTGAGGGAAAAAGTAGGAGGTTTGAAAGCCAATCTTCCACCACATGCGTTGTGGACTCTACTTTTCTTCATTGCTTTAGAACTATATATTAGGAAAATAGAGATACATTATCCTTTTTCTACTCTTTTTCTTCAATCTTTTCTTTTTAGTGTTTTGATAAGTAATTAACTTCTTATTTTTAATTTCTTGCTTAAATTGATTCCCGTTTTTTCATAAAACGAAACTATATATTCTCATGAAAACTATGAAATATGGATGCTTGTAATTCAAATATCATAAAACAAGATAGGACCAATGCACCAGGAAGAAGATATTCACTATAAACAGCAAGATGAGGCTTCCATAGTAAACTGAATTGAGCCTCGCTTGATCTGTTACAAACACAAGTGTTCAGTAGAGAGTTACTACTGCTGCAAAGACTGCGATAACTTCTATTCTATTATTAGATTGATTTTTGTATGGCTTTAATCTCTCTTGAATCCTTATCAAGATTATCAATGAAACTAAATTTAATTTAAAATCTTACTTATTGCTCCAAGAATTCTGTAGTATGGGTCATATATGCTTAAAAATACATTGAACAAGAGTATTACAAACTTTCTGAAGGTATTTACAAATTCCCAGTAGAAAGCATCCTGTCTCAATCCTTGGTATAAGATGAGTAAGTACTTCTGTTGTTCTGGTCTATCCAATAGGGCTCTCTTTCTATAGAGAATAAAAAAGGCTATGGCTGGCATTCCTATTACCCAGATTATTAAGATTGGGAATCCAACTAAGAAGATCCACTTAAGGTGATCTCTAGAGTAACATCTGAAGTCCATATGCATCATCATTCTGGAATCTCCTTCATCCACAATTGCTCACTGGAACACCTTCAAAGATTGGAATGTCATCGTTGGATGGAAGATGAATATAATGCAAATGAATGAGATTGCAATATATCTCTTCAAATCATGAGTCATTTCAGGCTTGATGAAATGCATGACCAATCTGTAGAGAAGAATTCCTGCTGTGACAATTCAGATCAAGATTATTGGAAGGATTAAATATAATATTAGCTTGAATAAAGCATTCGAAGGAGCAAACATTCTAATTTCGTTGCTCTCAATAAAACAGTCAAATGAGAAGAAAGTCCTCTCTGGGGAACTGACTCTATCCGATTGAGATGAAACATTTTCAAATAGATTTGGAAACTTTATATTGAATGAGAGAATTGCAGCAATCAGCTGAGTGTAATTGGTGAATATCCTCATCAAAATTGAAAACTGATTCTCATTTCTCTTCCTGATATTAACAATGATGATGAAATAAATGAAAAATAGTCCAAATATCTGAAGCCCAATGAATTCAATAGCATTGACTACTTTAGAAGGACATTTGAGACATTCATAATTAGAAGATGGTTGATACTTTTCTCCCTCAATTATTGAGCACTTTGTACATAAAAATCCTTCGTATCCTTTTTCTCATTTAACAGGATGATCATTTTCAGGGCTGAATCCTCCAAGTCATGATTTTTCTCGAAGTCATTGTGCAACATGGTTAGAAGTTATACTTTTTCTCCAATATCCTAGATTGACTTCAACATTATCTTTGCCTTGACACTGAGCATTTGGCATTCAGGTATCACAAAATGTAGAGTTCCATTCAAGAGAGTAAGTTTTGATACTACATTCTCTTCATTGCTCTTCTTTTGTTTGGTACTCTCCAGGTTTTCAGTATCTAAAGTCAACCACAAAGGAAGATTCATCTACCTTCTTCAAAGGATTCATCGAAGCGTTTGAAAGCAAATCTATCTTATCATTGTCAATATGGCTTGAGATAATATTATATGTGATATTCTGAGATCCTGGGGGTGCAATGAAGTTAAAACTTGATAGATTAGCAACTCCATTTATAATTCTTGCATTATTAATTCCCCCAACTATCAAAAGGTTATAAGACAAAACAAATAAAAAAATTAGCTCAGAATACAAATAGCTAAACTTTCTGGATTTTTAATGAAATTTGACGCTTTACCTTTAATCTTAGAATCTGAGCTTTCTGCTTGTAGCTTTACTGACCTTGTGTTTATTAAATTCATAGTCTGATTATCGTAGTCTACTAATCTAATTTCATAACTTTCTCCGATTGGAATGGAGCTTCCTACAGAATTTAGCTTCATAGTATTCTTTTCTGTTGTGGTAAATATAATATTATAGGCATAACTCGCTATATTATTGCCATAGGGGGCACTATTATTGGTGAAAACTAATCCTTCCATTACTGGTCTGTTCATATTGTAATAAATTCCACCTCCTTGAACTTCTGCTGTATTAGACTCGAAAAAACTGTTTCTAAGTATAATCTCTCACTTAAAGTTTTGATCACAATTGATTGCAATGGCAGCCCCGTTTTTGGCTTTATTTTGAATAAAATATGATGCTTGAAGTGTAATATTACTCTTGACTACATTTAGGGCTCCTCCTGTTTCAGTCTCGATACTTCCACAATTCTGGAAAGTAGAACTTTGCCAATTTTTTATTAATGAATTTTGAACCAATATTGAATTATCTCATTTAGAAACGGTTAAATTTTTGAACAAATCAGCCTTGCTGGATGATAATTCCATGGCAGAACTTGATACTTCAGAAATATGTAAATTTTCAAATAGAGAAATCTCTGATTTATAAATATCAAAAAGAGTATTATTAGGTGATATCTGCTTGAATGTGCTATCTTTCATAAGAATATCTCTGCTTGAAATGATTCTGAATAAATAATTAATTTCAGAAATATCATTAGCTCTGAATCCAGTAAAATTCAAGGTACAGAAAGAACTTTTCATGAATTGTGCTTGGGAGTTTTCATATATGATTCCGTTGGCCTTAACTTCTGAGTCAAGAGTGTTCAAGATATCAAAATCTCCCTGCATTACAAAATTGGTAACAGTCACATTAGTCAAAGATATACTTCCCTGAACAGAAACTATAAAGTCCTTATGAGTTTGAATGTCTAGAAATTTGACTCCATTCATAATGACTGAAGAGTCAACTGCCTTGATTGCCCTGGCTTGGCTGGAGAAAACAGTCCCATTCGAAATTTCAATTTCTCCCATGAGAGATATAACAACTGCATCGAATATCTCTAGGGATTAGAATGGATGAATTACCTTTCCCGTTGAAGTAGGAGTCGCGGGATTTTATCCTTGAGCTAAATTGAGGATGGAAATGGCCTGTAATGTATTTTAAATACAAACTTACTCTGCTCCATAAGAGTATTTCTAATATATTCCTTTGACAAGACAGTGTTGTTACTAATTCTACATCCATTGAGGACGCTTTTCTTCTCAGCAAGTGATATGTCAAGTACAGGAATTGTATAAGCATGGTTGTTTGTGATTTCACTATCATAAAATTGTGCTGAAGCTCCAACATCAAGGAAACCAACAGTGTTGCTGACTGCAAAATTTTCTGTAATATTTCATCTATGTATGAAACATTATAAGTCTATTTAATAATCTAAAAATTAGTGAAAGAAATGCTGTAATATCAAAAAATTACCTTATTCATTGAACATCTCCAGGCTTTGCTAGATGAAGTAAGACAGAGGTTATGGCAGCATTCTGAGTAAAAAGAGTATCAGTCATGATAACCTCCGTATTAGAGCTATAGATCCAAACAATGGCTGCATTATAAGTAGTCGTGACTCTCACAAACTTGCTATTACTAATGTGTAGATCGACGTTGGTAATAATTGCAATAAGTGAGCTAAATGTTAATACTATCTTACAAATAATTTCAGTACCAATCCTCGATAGTTATATTGTCAAACTTAATCCTCGTACGGATACCTGTTCTTTTTTGAGTCACTGAAATATCAATAGCACTATTGTGAATATTCCTAAAAATGCTATCATTAATCTCAAAAAACTGGTCAACTTTCTGTGCAAAGCCTATCATATTATGAATTTTTCCAAATGTAATATTCTCTGCATGAATTCTATTATACACCACCTTAAAAACCCCTTCTGAAAATATCTGACTATTCTCTATCAAATAAGCCGGGTCAGGGTACTCAAGATCCTTGATCACAAGATCATTCACTGTAATATACTGGTCTATTAGCACCAGTTGTTCTGTATTATGAATGCTGATGACCTTGGTCCTGCAGTTAAGAGCAGTGAGAGAGTTTATAGTTGTGTTGGTGTCTGAAGGGGAGGACATCTCACGAAGGTTGAGGAGGATGTTGGTCGTGTCGGAGTCTGAGGAGGTAGAAGCGTTCGTGAAGGTGAGGGAGGAGAGAGTGGAGGTTTTGGAGCTGAGCAGTTTTAGGTAGGAGGAGGATTGGCTGGAAGAGACATCAGTGATGTTTATGGAGGTGAGGGAGGTGTGGCCAGTGGGATTTGTGAAGCTCAGGAGCGTTTTGTGGTCGTGGATACTGCCTTTTTGGAAGGTGAAGTTTGTTATGAGGAGGGGATTTTCTCCAGAGTTTATGAAGGTGATTAGGTTTACTTTTCCTGTACCGAGAAGGTGGACGTCATTTAGAGTAGTAGAATTCATTACTCCTCCATCTATTGCTTCGAATAGAATTAAGCCATTCTGCATCATTGTGATGTTTGTAAAAGAGTTGTTGAGCATGGTTGGATCTATTTATTTAAACCATAAAATTACTTTGTCATCCATCTATCTTAAATAGTTCAAGCTTTGATACCATATTCAGAAATGAACTATCAGAGAGCTCTCATTGAGAGATTCCATTACCTTGAATATTAATCAATTCAAGATAGTTGACTTGAATGTTGGTGAACTCAAAACTGTTCAACACATACTTTGATACAAGAGGATTAGATGGATTGTCACTAAATAATTTATATCCGGCTCATAAGATTTTTGAAACTTACCTGATATGCACACCATAATACATCTCTTCGGGCGCATAACTCCAAGAAGGATCACTTCCAATCTTGATACCAGTGAGACTCACAGTTCTTTGCTCCATTACTGTGGAATCTCATGTCAAGTCTGGCCTCAGTAGAAAATTGAACCCATTAGAGGCACTATTTCCATAAAACAAGTGTGTAACATTTGAGAAGAAGACATCATAACCTCCATATTGCACAAATGGAGGAAAGTTAGTAGTCAGACTATCAGAAGGATCTAAAGGTACCAAACCAAACACTTACCTTCAGAGAAATAGAATCTAGTGTTGGAAATATTAGTCAATATTGGCAACATACTCTGCGCTTGTATGCACGAAAGCTGCAAATTGAACCCTCCTTGGGATTTGTGTAAGTCAAATTCTGAATTGAATACCTCAAGATTCATTTGTTGAAAAGTTTGCAAGAAACTTCCCTCTTGTAGAATTACAGAGTTCTGGATAGTAACTTTCTTTTCAAGAAGTTGTATTGGGTTTAAAAATGCTTTGCCAAGGCTTAGGCTAGCATACTCAGTGGAAATGAATAAGTTATCAAGTATTAAGCTAGTCTTGTACAGCTTTATGATAATATTTCCTAAGCTCAGCAACAACTCTTTATCTTCAGACGATATGAGAGAATCTGATGATATCTCAGTTGTGTAGTCTATCGTGGATGAGTCTAATAGATGAAATAAAATGAGTACTTAGTAAAATGAACTTAGATGGTAATAATGTGGGAGCTCTACCGCTTGTACTCTCAATTCCTACAATCCTATAGACATTGTCACTCAAAGATGCTAGAATGCAAAACTTACTTAGCTTTTCTAGTTTGAATGTCTTCTGTAGAGTAAGACTCAATCCTGACATTAGCAATATTAATCAAGTAAGTGCCTTCTCTCACATAGTTTGTAGTATCCTCAAATAAGTGGATGGTGATCTCCCTATCTGAGTGAGAATGAAAAAGAAACAACTCAGCAAAGACAGAATTTAACTCTTTATATGGATGCATAACAGTTCCGAGTTCTGTAGTGCTTGCGCTTAATGGATTGACATAATATTCAAAACTTCTTCAAAGAGGAATTCCTCCTAGCTTTGGATCATTGATTGCAGTCTGAGTGTTTAGGTCACAAGAGGAGACACATAAGAAAGAATCCAAGTCAAAATATTCTCCAGGTGGACAAGTATGGCAACTTGGCTGATATGCTCATTGATATAATCAACTTCTATCACATTCAACACAAGATTGTGAAGATTTTGAATAAAATTTTCCTAAAACAGAAGAATTTAACTTTCCTCAAGTCTCATAATTTTATCTTAGGACAAATTTAAATCAAATACTTACCTGTTTCACATACAGAACCATCACAAAGCCCTGTAGTCGTGTTTACTATAAAATTGATAACACTCTCATTTATATGCCAATTTCAAAAGAACATAATTTTTTTAAAGTAATCCCAAAATAAAAAAGTGAAGAATTTTTACTCCCAAATTCATAAAACTCTTACTTGCAAACTCTGGAGCTCAAGTCAAGCAAGCAGTGTAGCTATCTCATGTTCCTCAACTAGGATGTCACGCTCGGCATGAAAACTCATCTTGGAAGAATCCTGTGCCTCACTATGTATTTTAGCTGAAAAATCCCTTAATAACATTCATTTCCCAAAATCTGAAAAAACGCAGTTGGCCAAAAAGAAGGAATGAAATCGAATGTAAATGGTCTAATTAGCACAGTAGTTGCAAAATATTTGTGTTCTTAGCTCAATCCAAGATATGTTACAACAGAGTATGAAATTTTATATCATTTATTAGGCTAAGTTATAATCCCTCAGCTCATTCCCAAAACAGGTACCAATGAGGAAACAGTCAAGGCACTCTCACAATACTTCAGAATCATTTCTATTGCTATAACTAGGACCTTTAGATCATATGAAATTGCATAATAAAAGCTAGAGTATTTTTGGGAGTTTCTTGATTACAAGTTTCAGAGTTTCATTTTACCATCTTATAACCACTTTTATAGCTTATGGATATGACAGTTAGTCATTTAAGCAGGAGAGTAGAGAGAAACTAGTTAAAACATTCGTGAAGGGTTTTAAAGCAAGGATATACCTTCTGTTGTCATATTGGATTTTAATTTGAAACACTAAAAATATGAGAATTGACTGTCATACAATTTTTAACAAAGATGATAGACTAAGAATCTGCTGCTTAGAGTAATTTTAAAATATTTAGCAATAAACTTGTAATATTCCTCTAAAACTGCATTGATATGGTTTATCGAAAAAATTTGAAAAGGTAATATTGATTTCTATTGAGTAAACCAAGAAACTGATGCTAAGATTTGCGAATAATTCCCAAAATGCAATCAATTCAAGACTGCCATAAGGGCTCAAATAAATTGCCTAATTAAGCATCCTCTGTTTTCTTTGAAAATAATTGAAAGAGAAGAGGCGATAAACTTAGGTAAAATAAAGCAAAAATTGTAAAAAATTGAGATTTTTATTATTTTATACCCTTTACATCACTAATTCTTAAAAACATCTGGATTCAAAATAGAACCTGATCTATTCAGAAATGAAGTTTTAGAGTAAATTAAGTATGTCCATCGATCGCAATGAAATATAAAGCTCTAGTCTACAACTAAGGTCTCCAGACCATGGTAGGCTAACTGTTTGCTACTTTGTTTTCAGCTACCAATTGACCATAAAATACCACCTATTTCTCTAACGACCAAGTGTTTTTGACAAATTTCTCTGAAAGTATATTAATTCATGCATGAAATTTTAATTTGTTTGCCAATAATAAACATCCATCCATCATGGCTTCTAAACCTAATGCCAAAGAGGCTAAATCTGAAGCATATTTTTAAATCACCCTCTCTATAGTCATTTATAAACAAACCATTATCCCAGGATTGGTAGTAAGACCCTGTCTCCTAAAATAAGTCACTTACCGTCAACCCAAGCTGAATCATACACACCACAATCACAAGGTATTCAAACGAAAATGCTATGTTTTTCTTAATATTTATTATTAATTTGTATGGAGTTCTATATAAATTTGAACTGGAGGGGTTTTGGGGTTTTGGGGTTTTGGGG